TTCGGATTTCATTTACATTTCTATTTCAATTTGTTCAATTTGATACATTGACTGCTTTTGCTATATTCTAATGAACGCTCATTCGTGCTTAGTTTAATTACCCGAGTTCGGTTGTCTTCTCAAGTGTCTATCCCGCGTGGCCTTCTTACCTACTAGAAGGAAGTGCGAGCAGCTATTTGAGGCAATATCCTCACCCAGCATCCGCAGCGGATAGAACTACATATGTTCGCGCGCAACACCAGCCTAGTTCTATGAATATATGCCCGCTCACAGAGGTGACGCCTGGCTGAAAGGGCTGACGCCGCGCCAAGCGTAGGTCCAGGGAATATCCCAGAAACGCCTCCATCCAACGCTCCGTTGGGCATCACTTCTCGCCGAACGCATTCCCCTAAGTTCATCTTTGCTGTGAATAAAAGGTTTAATAAATACCGTAGGTTTCAAAAATGCTATTCCAGCTTTGAGCGCAAGGTGCTCAAAACTTGGTAATTTTGGGGAAACTGCAGATTTTCAGCTGGAACTAGCAGGACTGTAGTACGCCATCCAATGAACAACTCAGTTAATGAAAGTGATTCGTTTCACTGCTTCTGTGATCTAGCTGTTACATTTTAGACGCAAACCAGTACATTTTTTAATTCAACAAACGAGCGCTACACCTACGAACCGGCAACAACCACTGGAATAATGGAAAGATGCACTCAACTATCGCATTACTTTACCTGAAGCTGTTTCGCCTCCTCAGGACTCATTGCTTTCTCACCACGCGGAGGCATATCGTAGATCGGTTCCGCGTGCACCTAATTAACGAAATGGCCGTTTTTGAAATTCTCTCAAACTGAGGAAGACAAACCGTGCAAGTGGCAAAAGTGCAAAATGATGTAATCTGTCAAAACAAAAATGTACTCATTTGGATTGTATAGTGGTAGCGCAGAAGTCATCAGGCAAGTTTCACAAAATGGAAGACCAAACTGTTTGTCTCTTATGGCTTAGGTTTTTGAAAGTTTTTTAGGTTCGCTTACTGCTACTTGGTGTTTGAAAGGGATTGCACTCGGTTCGAACAATGTCACTTTCAGACTCCCTTTCTGGAACTGATACGCTAATTAAAATAGGCTATATGTTGCCAGCATGCCACGACGCACAGCAGTGGATTTTTCCGATAAGCGCAGAAGTGCCTGGAACCTGGTGTCGTCCGGCCCCCTGTCTTACGTCAACTATGAACGTCAGTCGTCCCGCGGACGGTTCGTCACTCCAGCACTCCATGAGACCTCAAATGAATAGAAAGGGAGAGTGTGTGGCCATAACGCGTGAGCTGGCACCCTTCCTCGACCTTTGCAAGTTTTGATCTACCGTGAGGTCGAGGAGGGTAAATAGTAACAGTTACTTCACGATTAAGTGTTCCTCAGGGTGGTCGACCCCGCACCGCGGCGGCTGATCAGGTGAGCCATAATACTATTGATTGATATCGTTGGATGCTTTACTAGTCTAGGGAAATTGTCTTGAGGATTGTTTAGGCGCTTGAGCGGGCAAGTTACATCTGTTTTTTGTCCATTTCAGGCTCAGACGAAGGCGAAGACGCCGAAACGTAGGCCTAGTAATAAAGCCATCCAATCTTGTACAGGCTTGAAGACATACGAAAAGGATATCTAGCATGCCAAGATTGCAAGAAAGTCGCACGTGGACTATTCTGAGACCTATTCGTCTTGGTGAAAAGTTTACGAACGTGGCGGAGCAACCGCCACAACTGTGGATTCAGTCGTTTTCACTGAAGGCAGTCGTGGCGTATCAGGGGGCACGTGTTTGGCACAGCACCAGCTCGGTTTACAGCGATCGTTATGGGTTCGGTTGTTTAAGGGGGGAGACGGGCGAGAGAATCGTAATTTGCCGCTCCGCGGCGATGGGCGCGGCGTTTTCTTAACTCGTGTTAACCTGTCGATTGGAGCACCGGACTTCATGTAGACCCGTCATCGTAGACATTCATGACTATTTTCGGTTCTGAATTGCCTGTTGTCGCCATCTTCTACCTGAAGCCCACCAGCGCTGTGAATTACGATTTTCTTGCCACATACCCTGATTAAGGAGTGCTGCTAAGGGGATGGCACCGCGTCAAAACCTAGCGTTGCTGACCCACTCCGACTGACTGCACCTAAGTCGGCTTTCTTCAGCAAGTTATTCCCTCCTGAGCCCACAATGATTGCTAGAAA